TGTTGGCCCGAGTGGCCACGTGACGAAGACGAAGCTGACCTCGCTGCTGCAACTCTCGAGCCAGGAAGTAACGCAGAGCGATGTGCTTCATTCTGTGCTCCAGTCTGTGCTCCTCACACAAGGCAATGGCCGCCTTGTTGTCAACGTACAGAACTGGAGGAGAACGAGGCCGCTCACCCAAGTCAGTCAGCAGGTAGGTGAGCCAGCGTAGCTCCTGTGCAGCCATGGCGGTGGCGTAGATCTCAGCCTCACAACTGGAGCTGAGAACAGAAGACGAGCGTGTAGACCGCCAAGAAACAGAGCCAGAGCCAAGACTGAAGGTGTAACCCTGTGACGACCGCTGTGTAGTCTGGTCGTCAACCCAAGACGCGTCTGAGTGCCCAGTGAGCACCACCTCACTCCGTCCTCCAAGCACTAGCCCCATGCCTGATGTACTGCACAAGTAGCGCAGTACCCTCTTAGCAGCAGCCATGTGCTCAGGTCGGTGCCGACCAGGAGCCACGTAGCGAGCAAGAAGGCCAAGAGGGTACGCGAGGTCTGGACGAGTGCAAGTCATCAGGTACATGAGGCAGCCAACAAGCTCTGGGTAAGGACCACTCGGCTCTACGGACTCGTCCGAAGGTGGAGCTGAGAGCGAGTGACCTGTAGCCAGAGGAGTGTGCTGTGGGGAGGACCAGGAGAAGCCGAAGCGCTGAAGGACCTGCTGCACCATGTGTGACTGAGTCAGGGTGATGGTGCGGCGTGCTCTGTCCCGGGTGATCTGCAAGCCAAGGTAGCTGCGCAGCTCACCCAGGTCTGTGCATGTGTGTCTCTTCTGCAGCTCCGACTTCACCTGAGCGAGAGCCTCAGTGTCAGCAGTGGCAAAGACCAGGTCGTCGATGTACACGAGGATGTAGAACGGCGGCAGGGAAGTGTCAGTGCGCAGAAACAGCGACGGGTCAGCAGTGGAAGGAGCGAACCCAAGAGCCGCAAGTGTAGTCCTCAGTGTGTCGTGCCACTCACGAGGTGCCTGGCGGAGACCGTAGACTGGCCGCTGGAGGCTCCACTGGGTACCAGGAGGGAAAGACCCAGTGAAGCCAGGTGGGCGGCGCAGCCAGATCTCCTCGTGCAGGCTGCCTTGTAAGAAGGCTGTGCTGAAGTCAAGAGAGTGAAGCTCGTAGTCACGCTGAGCGGCAACGTGCAGCAGCACCTGAAGAGTGGTCATCTTCGGGGTGGGGGAGAAGGTCTGGAAGAAGTCAACTCCCTCTCGCTGACTGAAGCCTCTAGCAACGTAACGAGCCTTGAAGAAAGGCGGAGAACCCGGCGGCCGCTTCACCCTGAAAATCCACATGCCATCGACCATGTTCGCCCCAGGAGGGGGAACCTCATCGACGTAAGTGCTTGTGGACTTCCAGGATGCCATCTCTGCGTCCATGGCTGTCTGCCACTGAGAGGAGTACTCACCCGCGATCGCCTCAGCGTAAGAGCGCGGGGTCGGGATGTCTGGTGCATCCGGGTCTCCCTCAAAGGCAAGCAGCATGGCCACGAGATGAGGCGCAGCAGCCGCAAGACACTCAAGGTCCTCGTGCCTGTCCTCAAGGACGTCCGTGCTAAGAGCACACTCACCCCCGACGGACGGAGGACAGACAGACTCAGACTCAGCAACAAGACTGGCAGCGAAGTCTAGACGACAGGCAGCAGCAAAGTCAACAAGCTCAGCGACCAGGGCAGACGCAGCAGCAGACTCAAACGACGGGTCAGTGACAACAGTGGCTAGCAGACGCGTGACAGTAGGGTGCTCAGCACGAAACCGGTCAGACTCGGGATCCGCGACAACAGGCAAAGAGGACGCAGGGGGAGACGGAAGAGGAGTACGCTCCGGAGGAGAGGACCGACGCAGGGCTACAAGGCGTGTGCCGGGGACAGCCGGCTGACGCTGACGAGGAACACGACGACCGGTACGACCAGGACGAACAGGCGAGACAGGACGCGACACAGGCTCACGACGCTCAGCAAGACTACCTGTCTGCTCAGTGTAAGGAGAGGGAGCAGGCAGCGGTGAGCCAGGCTGTAACGGAAGACCAGTAGACGACGGGAGAGTAATAACCTGACGAAGAGCAGAGTCAGGCGGCGGCAGAGATGACGGAGACGGCGGAGCGAAGAACAGTCGTGTCGGCGCAGCTGCACCAGCACCAGCAGCTCCAGCACCTCCAGTAGCTCCAGCGTCTCCAGCCGCTCCAGCACCTCCAGCAGCTCCAGAAGCTCCAGCCGCAGAACCGGTACCTCCAGCGCCAGCACCTCCAGACTCAGCGTCACCAGTAGCAGCACCCCCAGAACCGGCACCCCCAGTCCCAGGGTCTCCAGCCGCAGTGTCCCCAGCAGCAGCACCCGCAGGCTCAGCACCTCCAGCCCCAGTAGCACCAGTACCCCCAGTACGAGTACCTCCGAGACCAGCACCACTCCCAGCTCCAGTGACGTCAGCAGAAGTACCTCCAGCAGCAGAGCCCCCAGCTCCAGAAGCGCGACGCAGACGGCGACCGTACCAGTCGTGCAGCTGCTGTGAGGTGACAGGCACACGTGGACGAAGGCGGCCACTCCAAGGAGACCGCGCAACAGTAGACTCCGAACCCTCAGCGTCAGCACCTCGAACAGCTCCAGAACCTCCAGTGCCAGCACCCTCAGCTCCTGCACCTCCAGCAGCTCCAGAACCTCCAGTGCCAGCACCCTCAGTCGCTCCAGAACCTCCAGCTCCAGCGCCACCAGCACCAGGACCTCCAGCAGCACCAGAACCTCCAGTGCGGCAGCAGCGGGCTGCGCGCGGCTCGGTGCGGGCTGCGCGCGGCTGCAGCGGGCTGCGCGCGGCTCGGCGCGGGCTGCGTGGGCTCGGTGCGGGCTGCGCATGGCAGCAGCGGGCTGCGCGCGGCTCGGTGCGGGCTGCGCGGGCTCGGTGCGGGCAGCGCGCGGCAGCAGCGGGCTGCGCGCGGCTCGGTGCGGGCAGCGCGCGGCAGCAAGGGGCCTAACGGTCTGCAGGGGCTGTTCGCGGGCCTGAAGGGCGTGTAGGGGCGGCGCGCGGGCCTTACGGGCCTCTAGGGGCAGCGCGCTGGCCTAGGGCAGCAGGAGGCAGCGCTAGGGCTGCTGGACGGCGCGCGTAGTGCAGCACGTCACAAGGCAAGGCAAGGCAGGCAGGTACGTGGGGTAGCGCGGTAACCGCAGCGGTAGGTGGGCCCGAAAAAAAACGGTCCTACGGACCTTAGTGCTCTGATACCATGTTAGAATCTAGCAGCAGGAATGAATGAACTAGCAAGAAGATGGGTACAAGTAGGAAACCCTAATTTGGGTTGTACCCCATATGGGCTACCCCACTACAGCCTACACAATAAGCAGCATATATGTTTGACACGCCTAGGGGTTCATAAGTAGAGAACGCAAGAAGATCACCGGAGGCATGCGCCCAGAGGGAGTCGTCAGCCTGACACTGACTCACTAGCAGGTGCTGCACACGGAGGAGCTAGACAAATAACTCCAGCGGCCTACCCTCGGCATCAAAGCACAGGACCCTAAGCGCCGCCATAGCTGCTGCGGAGGGGAGGGAGCTATTGTTGCTAGGCGACTAGAAGGCCTGAGTAGGGCGCGATACGACATGACGGGTTGGGCGCGACACGACGCGCAGAGGACGAGACGGGCGCGACGCGACAGGACGGGACGAGCGCGACGCGACGGGGCAGGGAGGGACGACGGGCGCAAGGGGATGGGATGGGACGGGCGCGACACGACGGGACAGGCAGGGCGCGACGCGATGGGCAGGGAGGTGGGACAGGCGTGAGCTTCCGCATGCTTACGTTCGTCAGGCATCCTTTGGTAGCTCGCGGGCATTCCATCCTGCTGCCATCGTCGCAATGATGCTTTAGGTCAGATCGTCGACGTACTTTGAGACGTCTCAAAACTCATCGATGTACCCGCATCATGATCTGAAGCATGACGCTCCGTCACTTGAATGACTTACGTGAGGCGTCAACTTCATCCCGTAGCGGGACGAAGTTGAAGCTCTATCATCATCTGCTTTGCTATTGCGTGTCCTCCATGATCTCGCATGCCCCGCATTTCACCACTTGAGCGACTTGAACGTCCCCGTGCCCATGCCGTGAAAAGGCGAGGCGCTGGTTCGCGTGCGCAAGGGCGAGTGATACGTCAAAATACTTCCATCCCCATCTCCCTCGCTTCACCAGTTGAATGACAGCATCCCCGCGCCCAGGCAGAGCAAGGGCGAGGTGCTCGCTAGAGAGCGGGTGATAAGTTTTCTTCAAAGCTTGATTCAAACCTTAATTCAAAGCTCCCCATCATCTGCTTGCTGCTGCATTTCTCCCATCCCGCACCTCCTTCACTTCACCAGTTAAACTATAACGTCCCCGTGCGCGTGCAAGCCACGTAAGGGCGAGGTGCTGGTTCGCATGCGCGCGGCGAGCAAACCTTAATGTTTTCTCCCCATTCCTCGCTCTTTCTCACTTCACCAGTTGAATCAGAACGTCCCTGTGCCCGCGCCGAGCAAGGGCGAGGTGCTGGTTCGCGTGCGCGCGGCGAGCATCAATCCGGGCGACTGGAAGGTGCAGTCGGGACTCATCCCCTTCCTTCCTCGCCGCTTCCCCGCCACTGCTGGTGAGAAAGCGTGCAAGCAGCTGCAGAAGATGAATGTATCTAAGAATGACATTCAAATGTGGCGATTGATTGAAAGGTGCACTTCCTGCTGCTGCGGCTCCCTGCCACCGTTGGTGAGAGCTGTGCATGCACTGCCTTGTGTCCTCACTTACTTGTGTCCCCTTACCTGGCTGTGCGGTTCTTCCGCTGCTGGCGAAAACCTGCATGCATTTCTTTTCTCGCCACCTTGTCATTCACCCTTCTCACTTCACACTCGAATCCGGAATTATTGTTTGATTCTCCTAAATTTCTCTACGTTCATGCAGGGTACGACCTGGCAGGCAACGTGGTGGCAGTGGGGCCGGGCGTTACAAAGTACACTGTGGGAGATGCCGTTTTTGGAAAGGCACCGTTCTTCGTACGTTCTGTAACCACCAGATTCTGCTTTGATCTTCGTTCTTCCGATCTAATCCACTGCACTGCACCTACCTCCACCGCTCTATATCGCATCCCTCTCTTTTGCTCTGGACAAGCAAACCAACCTCTCGTCCAAAGTCTGGTGTTTGGTGTTTTCACTGCCACTTCTCTTCCACACACCCTCCGTGCGTTATCCATCCTCTCTGGCCCCACTCTCGTGAAAATGGGCGCTCTCGCCCCACTCGGGTTCACTACGCACTCCTCAACCAGCTCACCTCTTGCTTGTGTTCCCTTCTCATTTGCTTCCCCATACCTCTTGTATGTTCTCATTTCTCTGTTGTCAGAAAATGGGCGCCCTGGCGCAGTACGCCATACTGGAAACTGCCGCCAGTGCACGCAAGCCCTCCTCCCTCACCTTCGAAACTGCTGCTGCTCTCCCCGTCGTCGGTCTCACCGCCCTGCAAGCCGTGAGGGACTGTGCTGGCCTGCCGCTCCCTGTCCCTGCAGCTAAACTGAGTGCGGAGCAGAAAGGCAGCAACAGCACAATCTCGAGTAGCAGGAGCATGAGCAATGGCAGCAATGAGTGCAGCAGTGGGAGCAGGGCGCGGGTGCTGGTGGCGAATGCATCGGGGGGAGTGGGGCATCTGGCAGTGCAGCTGGCCAAGGCAGCAGGGGCACACGTGACTGCCACTGTCGGCGCTCGCAACCTCGCCTTTGCACGGAACGTGCTTGGAGCAGACGAGGTTTTTGACTACAACTCCACTGCAGGGAAACAGCTCTTCCATTCGCCTTCCCCATCCCCTGCGCCTGGTACCAGCTTCACTGCTCCTGCTGCTGCTGCTGCTGCTGCACAGGTTGCTTCATCCTCTGACCCGCCTATCACCGAGCTGTACGATGCGGTGATTGATTTTTCTCCCAACAGTCTGCCTGTCTCTGCGGTGGACAGGGTTCTCCGTCCCCAAGGGAGGTGGGTGCATGTGGAGCTTCCGCTCTCTCTGCTCGCTCTGGGACTGTGGCGCCGCCTTGCTTGTCGCCCCAGGAAGCTGTGGCCTGTGATGATGGAGATGATGGAGAGCAAGGGGGCTGATCTGGCGGTGCTGGGGAGGATTGCGGAGGAGGGCAAGGTGAGGATGGTGGTGGAGAGTAGTGTGGCGTTTGAAGAGGCGAGAGAGGCGTGGAGGAGGAGCATGGCAGGGCATGTGACTGGGAAGTTGGTGGTTAGGATGGAATGAAGGCTACGCTAAGATGATTAGAGCTTGAAATATAACTACTATATATTGGGTACCTATTACTAGAACCATCGCTTATAACAGAAGAACATGCATACAAGCATTTCTGCACCACCATACTCCCCTCTCACAAACACACTCCCCCCTTCCCTTACCCAACCCGCTCCCAATTCACTCCCCTTCCTCCCGCTAGTACCAAGTAACGTTCAGCCAGTCTTTTGTCAAAAGCACCTACCCGCCCAGAATCACAACACTCTCCTTCGCCATTACTTGCTCTCGGCCATGAGCTTCTTGAAGTTGGTCTTGCTCGAGTAGAGCGTCTGCGGCTTCCAGTCGGCGGGAATGACCTTGTCGAGAGTAATCTTCTCCAGCGTGTGTCCCGCAGTCAGCCGAACGCTCACCGCCTTCTTTGCGCCCACAACCTCCTTCGCCTCCTTGCCCTTGATCCCCCAGATCGCCTTGCTGCCGTCGCGCGTCAGCTTCTCCCATTCTTTTCCGTCCGCGCTGATCTCGACCGCCTTGAGCGTACCGGGGCCGGCGAGACCCACGAATGTTGAAGTGCCCCGCCGTCGAGTTGAGCGCACGCGCACCGCGGATCCGAGGGTGGAATGGCAGTTGGTGCGCTTGTACGTGACGCTAACGGGGTCGGATCCCTGCACGATCTTGGACCAGGAGACGGGGGAGAGCGAGATCTGCTTGTCCGTGCTCGTCGCGCCAATGACGCGCACCGTCACGGTCGCCTTGCCGCTGCGGCAGCGCTTCGTGTCGTTGGCGCAAATCACCTTGTAGCACGCGCCGCAGCGCTTGCCGCATCGGGAAAGTTCGGGGTCCCGCAATCGTTTGGAAAGCAACTAGCTGGCGAGTGGTTTTCTACGCGGGGCATTTGCCTGGTTTTGGCGAGTGGTTTTCTATGCTAGTGGCATCTAGCCCCCGAGTGGTTTTCGCTTGGGCGAATGCCTGGCTGCCGAACCTCCAGAAATGGTAGGGAAAATCTACACGAGTGTGTTACGGACATTTGGATCGACTTCATTGGGCACGAGGTTGTTTTCGATTCGATGTCACGTCAGCAATATTCGCAATAAACGCTGACTCGCACAAAAAAAGGGTGAACACACCCAAATTGATCAATTTCGTTTCCTTATGTCAATGTGACCAAAAATTTGTTCGTATAACGAAAATTCCCCTGACTATTTACTTACGATAAAACCTAAATAAATGCGTGTACTGGTTTTGAACTGACTAGACCAAAAAAACAAATTGGACGGGAAAACAATTCTTTTAACGAACATGATTTTAACAATGTTCTTATAAGCGAGTGCAATTGGTAGGTTTCTAATTAGCTATATTTAAAATTGGTACACACAGGAAACACAATTAAGAGAAATAACATTTCATATTATTAAGGGGTACATGTACTAAAACTACTATTACTAAAAAAGCGTTCTAGTACAGCTCCGCCTGCACTTCGTTCTCGTTATAAACCCTGCGATAGGAGGCCCTAGAGGTGAGGTCCTGTCGGGTCAAATCACCAAGTTCATCTGCTTCCAGCTCAGCTTCGGGGATCTCCTTCCATCCAACAATGCAGATGCTGCCAATGCCAACACAATCCCCGTCACGTGTAACAGGACCCTCATTGATCCAGCGCTGCACCACCCTTGCCTGCCTGGAAAAAGCAGCCGGGTCCCCGGACCGCTTGAACTGGGCTTTGTCGTGCGGATAACGAAGCTTGAACCGCACCTGATACATATACATCGCACAAACCGTTGGAAAAAAGTCGTGTATACCACAAACTGAAAAAACGTTAGTAACCTACCGCAGCAAGGATGACAAGCAACTGGTCAGGAAACAGGGCGATGGGAAGACTTCCGTCAAATTCGGAGTCCCAGAGAGCAGCGCACTTGACAAACCCTGGACTGGAGAACGGCGTGCCCTCCCACACATGCCAATAGGTGCCCAAAAACACTGCGAAATGTACGAAAGGGTGGTTAAAACAGATGCGAAACTGACAACTACGATGTACTATCTTTAAACACTTACAGTCGGAGTTGTTAGTCACGTAGTTCACGCACAGCTTCGCGAAGTCCTCGAGCTCGGCGAAGGTAAGCTCGCCCTTAAGGGTGCGCTTTTCCCTCATGAAGATGCAAGGCTCACGGCTCAAACCGTAACAGCGACAGAAGCGGTAAATCTTCCCAATACGGTCGTTGAACCGCTCGCTCGCATCCTTGAGCTTGCCCTGGGACTTGGCAATCGCAGCCACTTGCAGTCCTTCGGGTGACTCGGGGGTGTATCCCGCCTTCCCTGCACACGACCAACGGGTAGTAAGCAATAGTAATTAACAGAATCGTAGTCAGACAAATAGATGGCAGTACTTACTTATCAAAGCATTGAGCATGGTTTCAGAGTCGGGGTTGAGGTTGAGCGTCTCCTGCTTGAACAGGAAATCGTCGCAAGCTTCCTTGATGTATTTCTGAAAATTAGCGTAGTTAGAAAGTCAGAAGGTGTAAAACTCAACACTGACTTTGACCAAAACCAAAACTTTGATATGAAAATGTACCTTCCAGTCGAGCTGCGACTGGTCCACTTGCTGGACCTTCTTAGCAAGGTGCGTTAAAAGCACCAGGGCGCTTTTCATTTCTTCAGCGAGGCGCCCGTTCTCCTTCTGATAAACCCCTGCAATCGCCTTCTGACTCTCCGCCTTGATGCGCAGCTCCTCATTCACATCAGGTTCGGCGCGCGCCTCCTCGTCAAACCGAGCGGCATCAGTTGTGTACACTTGCCCTTTCGCGCGGGTCATAATCATCTCCATCGGGGATTGATCGGCGTTTCCTGTTGGTGGGAAAAAGGCAAGAGCAAAACATGATCTTTTTAAGTGTTATACTCACAAAATCATGCACGGCGCAACAGCTCCGATCTAGTTATACCGGTGAGCAAAAGGAAATCAAAACAGCAACAGGGCACAAGCACCTTCCTCAGGAGCATCTTTCTCGGCAGAGACAACAGCATTGGGGGCAACATCACCACCACCAGGGGCACCACCGTCGGAAGCAGCAGCAGGGGGAGACCCGGGAGCTGCAGCAACAGCTGCCGCAGAAATGGGAGATCCGGGAGCAGCAGTAGCAACAGCAGCAGGGGAAGCAGCGTTCACAGCACCAGCCGGGGGAACCGAGGCAGAGGAGGAACCACCGACCGCCACGGCATTTCCATCAGCGGCAGAAGCGTTCAACGGCGGGCGACGGGAGTCGGATTTAGTCTTCACACCTGCTCCCTGAGCCTGCACGGTTGTCCCACCGGCGGAGCCGTTATTGACGTCATCGAGGCTCCGCCTCGCGTGCTTGGAACGTTGGCCGGTACCATGGCGACGAGGCGGTAGGATGTCCGCCTCGTCTTCGTGACTGGCTTCTGCGACAATCAGGTTTATAGAAACGTGGGTTAGACATAGTTTAAGACAAGTGAGAACCGTCAGGTTTACAAATAGTATATGAGCAATTAAAAACAAACAAAAAACAGAAACACACACGCACACACACAAGTGAACTTACTGACAGTGGAGTTGTTCCCAATATACTTATGATTGGTTTTGCTGGTCCGAGGCAGAGCCTGCCTAGTCTGCAACGAACGCATTGATGCAGGGACGAGATCTCGAGCATGACCGCGTGCCATCTTCAGCTAGGTGTGAATAAAATAGAACGGACGACAAACGTATAGCCAGCTAGTTGCCAGCCTGCCTATTTAAATACATGCGGGCGAGGTGACAAAAAAGCGGGCTAAACCATGAACGAATGTAACACTAATGAAAGAGCAAGCGTGAAGGTTGGAAATCGCACCATGATTGGCTGACGGGGTGTTTACCAAACCAGAGACCCACTCCGCACCGCATGGAGGCTCGGCACGGGTCGCGCTAGGATAGAATGGGAAAAGGAGTCTGCCGAGCTAAGTTTGGAGAAAGTTTGAAATTTCGAAGTTTGAATTTCCAAACTGAGACACGAAGATAGAGCAGGTAACCCTTTCGTCTGCCAACGGGGAAGGGAGAGAGGGAGGAGATGGTGTGTGGGGGGGGTTTCAGGGGATGTGAGTAGCCCTAGGATGACGATGAGCGGTATAGTTCCGTCTTCATCCCTGCTGGCGTTCACCAAAGGCGCGTTGGCTGACGTTTGTCGGCATGCAGTTTCTGGAAGGACGGAGTGAAAATTTTCGTCTACACACCGCCGCCTCCCAGGCCACGGTGGATGAGGCAAGAGCACTAAGGTGGGAAGATAACAGCTACGTGGTGGCGCGATAGCGTTTTATTGGCCAAAAAACACCCCGCTGGAACCAGTTCCTAATGTGAGTGGTTGGCCAAGGTCAGCGAGGCAAAGTGAACGCATCCAGTGCTGCACCTCTTTGCTGCCCGGGTGGTGCCAGGCTGTCAAACTGGGCACCAGTTTGCTGCCCAGGTGAGGCCACGATGTGCAATTGGGCACCACAAGAAAGCCACCTTGTGCAGCTGGGCACCACTTTGCTGCCCAAGTAGAGCCACGCAGTGCAACTGTTGCATAACCTTCAAGGTGTAGCCTCGAAATGAACTGTAGCACCGATTTGCTGCCAAGCCACGCAACGCTCTCACACTTACGCGCTTTGCTGGTGGGTGGTCGATTTTGTGTTGTTGTACCTGATTTGTACAGAGCGTATTGTCTAGACTTCGTAAGAACCGAAGTGGTTTTAAACGCAAGTCCCCAACCGATCCATGTCGAAAGTGGGGTACTTACGTAATTCCGAAAACTGACACACTGGGGTGTGTTTTCGGGAAGATTTAAAAAAGCGATGGAAAAACCTGAAGTACATCAACCCTTCTCGCGTGCAATTCGGTACTTGCGACGCTGGCGAACACATACAAAGCATGCGAGTCAAAGCTGACCTGTATTCACAGTGTTGAAGCCGAGAACAGCCACAGGCCAAGTTGAGAAAATTCCGTGAATGCACACACACGCGACAACTCACGCACCACGGATGCAATGACCACACGACACGTCACTTGGGTCAAGCGTGAGAATATCAATGCGGTGTAATGGGTCGAGCGTGAAATTTCACGGATGCGGCGGAGTGAGTTGAACTACGTTATACATACCTTTTATTGCTGTTCATAGTGGTCGTAATGGGTCTTGGTGACAAAGAATTATTCGATGTAGTCTAGAACGACACAGACGCCATTTTTGTTAGATGCGCCTTTCGGTGGACCCCGCCAGGAATTTTGTAAGAAAGTCCACAAGAAGGCCCTATAAACTATAGTTCAAGTTATGAGTGCAGTGAGAGCATCTCAAAACGCATTTATTTAATTGGTGAAGGTGAACAGAGCGAACCCTGAATATGTACATATATACATTACATAATGGTTTCCTAAACACTAACTACCATCTAAAGTGATTCAACATAAATGTTGCCCTAGGATGAGCTGGGTCAATGGTTTTGGGAACGACGTGACGCACACGCAAAATACTCTCTATAGGCAACACACCATACCCGCGGCGTGAGGGCTGTCAGAATGACTGTACTAGCACAAAGTTGGATACAAGTAGTAAACCCTAATCTAGTGTACCCCCTAAGGTGTAACCCACTACAGCCTACAATCATATAAACATATAATGTTTGACACACCCCCATAGGCGCAGTGGGAGACAACCACAGGGTCACGAGACCAGTCAAAGCAAAGGAAGGCAAGCTCAGGGTGGATCTCAAGGATTCCACACAAATTCCGAGCACAAGCTAGTGGTCACAAGACCAGTTCACATGCAGGTTTATAACAGAGCAAGAGATACAGTGATCACAACCTAGCAAGAGTAAACATGCAGGTATAGATATATATAGTGATCACAGTACAAGCAAAGTCAAGAGGTAAGTAAGTGAGGTCCAGTAGGCACAAGGCCCAGTAGAGTGCAGAAGCGCTGATGGTCACGAGGCTGAAGCGCCTTGGTGAACACATCAGCAGTGTTGGCCTCAGTGGCCACGTAGCGAATACAAAGCTGACCGCGCTGCTGCAGCTCACGAGCAAGGAAGTACCGCAGGGCGATGTGCTTCGTTCTGTGCTCCAGTCTGTGCTCCTCACACAAGGCAATGGCAGCCTGGTTGTCGACGTACAGCACTGGAGGAGAACGAGGCCGCTCTCCCAAGTCGGTCAGCAGGTAGGTCAGCCAGCGTAGCTCCTGGGCAGCCATGGCTGTGGCGTAGATCTCAGCCTCACAACTGGAGCTGAGAACAGAAGAAGAGCGTGTAGAACGCCAAGAAACTGAGCCAGAGCCAAGGCTGAAAGTGTAACCCTGAGACGACCGCTGAGTAGCCTGGTCGTCCGCCCAAGAAGCGTCTGAGTGTCCAGTGAGTACAACTCGGTCTCGCCCTCCAAGCACTAGCCCCATGCCCGACGTACTGCACAAGTAGCGCAACACCCTCTTAGCGGCATCCATGTGCTCCTTCCTGTGACGGCCAGGAGCGACATAGCGTGCAAGGATGCTAAGAGGGTATGCAAGGTCAGGTCGAGTGCAGGTCATCAGGTACATGAGGCAGCCCACAAGCTCTGGATACGGGCCACTCGGCTCTACGGACTCATCCGAAGGCAGAGCTGAGAGCGAGTGACCGGTAGGCAGAGGAGTGGACTGGGGCGAGGAGTACGTGAAGCGGAAGCGCTGAAGAATCTGCTGCACCATGTGTGACTGAGTCAAAGTGATGGTGCGCCGTGCTCTGTCCCGGGTGATCCGCAAGCCAAGATAGCTTGTCAGCTCACCCAGGTCTGTGCACGTGTGTCTCCTCTGCAGCTCCGACTTCACGTAGGCGAGTCCCGCAGTGTCAGCAGTGGCAAAGACCAAGTCGTCGACGTACGCGAGGATGTAGAACGGCGGCAGAGAAGTGTCGGTGCGTAGAAACAGCGACGGGTCAGCAGTAGAGGGAGCGAACCCAAGAGCCGCAAGTGTCATCCTCAGTGTGTCGTGCCACTCACGTGGTGCCTGGCGGAGACCGTAGACCGGCCGCTGGAGCCTCCACTGGGTACCAGGAGGAAACGACCCAGTGAAGCCAGGAGGGCGGCGCAGCCAGATCTCCTCGTGCAGGCTGCCCTGCAAGAAAGCAGTACTGAAGTCAAGAGAGTGAAGCTCGTAGTCGCGCTGAGCGGCTATGTGCAGCAGCACCCGAAGAGTGGTCATCTTCGGGGTGGGGGAGAAGGTCTGGAAGAAGACAACTCCCTCTCGCTGACTGAAGCCTCGAGCAACGTAGCGCGCCTTGAAGACAGGAGGAGAACCCGGCGGCCGCTTCACCCTGAAAATCCACATGCCACTGACGATGTTCGCCCCAGGTGGGGGAACCTCGTCGACGTAGGTGCCTGTGGACTTCCAGGAAGCCATCTCTGCGTCCATGGCTGTCTGCCACTGAGAGGAGTAGGGACCCGCCATCGCCTCAGCGTAAGAGCACGGGGTCGGGATGTCTGGTGCATCCGGGTCTCCCTCAGGGGCAACTAGCATGGACACGAGATGGGGCAAAGCAGTAGCAAAGCACTGGAACTCCTCCTGTCTGTCCTCAAGGACGTCCGTGCCAAGAGCACACTCACCCCCGACGGACGGAGGACAGACAGACTCAAACTCAGCAACAAGGCTAGCGGCGTAGTCTAGGCGACACCGAGCAGCAAAGTCAACCAACTCAGCGACCAGAGCAGACGCAGCAGAGGACTCAAAGGTAGGGTCAGTGACAACAGTGGCGAGGAGACGCGTGACAGTGGGACTGGCAGCACGACGGAAGTCAGACTCCGGGTCAGGAAGAGTAGGTAGAGAGGACGCAGGAGGAGACGGCAGCGGGACACGCTGAGGAGCAGTGGAGGGACGCAGGGTCATGTAGTGAGTGCCAGGGACAGGAGGAGGACGCTCACGTGGGACACGACGACCAGTGCGAGCAGGACGAACAGGAGACGTGGGACGAGACTCAGGCTCACGACGCTCTGTAAGACCTCCTGTGGGACCAGTGTAAGGAGAGGGACCAGGGAGAGGCGAGGCAGGCGGTAACTGTGACGGTGACTGGACAGGCGGAGGACACTCTACGGAGGGAGGAGGACAAGGAGGAGGAGCCTGTCCAAGAACCTGCTGAAGGAGTGGTACGAAGTACGGTCGCGGCCGCGCAGCGTCTCCAGAACCAGTAGAGACACCAGCGGCAGGGTCCTCAGTACCAGCAGCAGCTCCACCGCTCGGGTCCTCAGCACCAGCAGCAGCTCCACTGCTCGGGTCCTCAGCACCAGCAGCAGCTCCACCGCCCGGGTCCTCAGCACCAGCAGCAGCTCCACCGCTCGGGTCCTCAGCACCAGCAGCAGCTCCACCGCCCGGGTCCTCAGCACCAGCAGCAGCTCCACTGCTCGGGTCCTCAGCACCAGCAGCAGCTCCACCGCCCGGGTCCTCAGCACCAGCAGCAGCTCCACCGCCCGGGTCCTCAGCACCAGCAGCGGCTCCACCGCCCGGGTCCTCAGCACCAGCAGCAGCTCCACCGCCCGGGTCCTCAGCACCAGCAGCAGCTCCACCGCCTGGGTCCTCAGCACCAGCAGCAGCTCCACCTCCAGGGTCCGCAGCACCAGGAGCTCCACTCCGAAGACTGCAGCGCCGCGTGTACCACTCTCGGATCTGCTGAAGGGAGGGGAGCTCCCGGGTAGGAGGGGAAGTACCGGTACCAGCTCCAGCAGCACCTCTCCGGAGGCTGCAGTACTGTAAGTACCTCTCCTGCAGCTGCTGTGAGGAGAGGGCTCCTCCAGGTGTAGCACGCTCAGGCCCAGTACCTCCAGACTCAGCACCCCCAGACTCAGCACCCCCAGACTCAGCACCCCCAGTCTCAGCACCCCCAGGCTCAGCAACCCCAGGCTCAGCACCCCCAGGCTCAACACCCCCAGGCTCAGCACCCCCAGGCTCCTCACGCGCAGGCTCAGCTCCCCTAGCAGGACGAGACTCGACAGCTACCTCGACAGGCTCAACCGGGTCTACCTGGGACACACCTGAGGGAGCGGCACCCTGAGGGGGGAGGGGGTCTACCACAGCAGCACCTGGCGCGAGGAAGAGAGGCGGAGGGGGGAGCGGGGCAGTGCGGTAGGGGAAGAGGCGGTAGTAGGGGACGGACTCGTCAAAAGTGACGTCCTGAGAAGGCAGAACCCGGCGCGAGGTGACGTGGTAAAACTGCCAACCAGGCGCGTCCGGGACAAAGCCAAGGAAGATACAGGGAACAGCGCGACGGGAGAGCTTGTCCGCGGACGTGTCGCGAACAAAAGCTCGGGATCCCCAGACCCGAAAACGCGACGCATCGCCAACCTCTCCCGTCCAACGCAGTGTCGGGGAAGTCTCCGGCAAGGAGACACGGGGCCAGAGGTTGAGCTGATGCGCAGCGTATCGGACCGCAAACGGCCACAGAAAGTGGGGGGCAGCCGCATGGATCAGGGAGGTACGAGCGACCTCCATGACCAAGCCAATGCGGCGCTCAGCAACCCCATTCTGCTGTGGAGAGGCCGGAAGCGTGAACGACTGCTCAATGCCGTGCTCCGCACAGTAGGCTACCAAGAGGTCGGAGGAGAACTCACCACCTCTGTCAGAGTGCAAACGCAGGACAGGAAAGTCCGAGCGAAAACGCTCGCTGAGCTGGAGACGAGCTCTGCGGATCCAAGGGATCAAGACAGCAGGGACCTCACCCTTGGTGCGCAAGGGGAAGACCGTGGTGTAGCACGAGAAGTCGTCAACAACAATCAGGAAGTACCTCTCCTGACCTTGACCACGGACGCGGGCTGGGCCCCACACGTCCAGGTGAAGCGTCTGCAAGGGAGCAGTCGTCGGGGGAAAGGAGGAGGAGTGAGGAGCGGCGCGCTGCCGCCCCTCGACACAGGGAAGACAGGGAGGAGCCGGCGAGGGTGGGAGGGGAGGGAGCACCCTGGGAAGACCAGAGACAAGCTGCCGTTTGTGCATGGCACGAAGGCGCTGCACAGACGGGTGGCCAAGTCGGTGGTGCCAGAGGACGGTGTCGTGCGCCAGAGAGCGACACGAGCAGGGGGCCGACAGCTGACCTGACGCAGACGCGGACGCAGCTACCTGAGGGGACTCAGTGGTCAGTGTGTACAGGTCCGACCTCGGCTGCCGAGTGAAGGTAGCCAGGTGACGGCCCGTCCGAGCACACGTGCAGTGTGTCACGCGCTCGTAGGCAGGGGTGAACTGGTGAACACCCGCGTCCTGGAGCGCACAGCCCGCCACCAAGTTCGTAGAGAACGAGGGAAGGTGGAGACCAGACAGTGTGCCAGACGGGACCGCAGGACAGGGAAGAACAGTGGAGGAGGTCGCAATGACCGGACCCCCAGAGGGGTCAGCGAGGGAGACAGCAACTGGCCGAGCGAGTGGCTCAAGGGCAGTGCGGTCACGAAAGAAACAGCGAGAAGCACCTGAGTCCAGGGTGAAGGTGTGCAGTGCCTCAGTCGACTCAGTACCAGGGGAGACAGACTCACTAGCACCTAGAGCGACAGCCTCACCATCACCTGAGGTGGCAGACACGCGAGTACCTGCAGTGGCAGCCTCACTAGCACCTAGAGCGGCAGCCTCACTGGTCAGAATGCCCGGGTCGGGCGGAACACGCAAGTACTGAGCACCCTCTCCACTAGTAAACATCGCATACATGGCAGTGAGAATAGCATCAAAGTCTAGAGCCCAGATATCAACTCCCTTCCTCTCCAAATCAAGCCAGCGGGGCAGCTCACCGCCGTCAGGGAACTGAGCGCGCCAAGCGTCGTCAAGGCGCGAGAAACAGCTGTGAGTGGGGTGCGGCCTCCCATACGTCTGACCAGTGCGGTCACCAGTGCGGATGACGTACGTGCAGCTAAAGCCACGCGCCCCCGGGCGCTGGGAATACCACTCACGGGCCTCCTGGAGCGACGGAGTGTGCTGCTGGCTCAGACCACCGCCAGCTCCTCCACGACCACCACGGGCCGTAAGGGGCGAGCGCGGGGCCGTAAGGGGCGAGCGCGGGGCCGTAAGGGGCGGGCGCGTGGGCCGACGGGGCCTTAAGGGGCGGCGCGCGGGTCGCTAAGGGGCGGGTCGCGGGTCGCGGGGCCTTAGGGGGCCGTGAAAAAAAAAATAAATAAATAAAACGAGGCGCCCTAGGGCGCCGGTAGGCAGGTAGGTAGGTAGGTAGGTAGGTAGGTAGGTAGGTAGGTAGGTAGCGGTGGGCCCTAAAAAAACGGTCCTAGCGAAGGACCTGCTCTGATACCATGTCAGAATGAACGGACAGGAATGATTGAACTAACAGTGAAATCAGTACAAGTACCTAACCCTAGAATTGTGTACCCCCTATAGGCTAACCCACTGTAGCCTAAACAAACACAACATATATAATGTTTGACAACAATTCCCAATTAGAATCGCATCCGAAGATGGATTATAACTCGAGTTTTGAATTTCGGCGCACTAGGGGGTAAGCTGCCATAGAAACTTAACTCAATCACAATAGTTTCACAAGTTTTACAAGTTGCACACAAGAGTGTTAGAGTAGCACTAAACCAGGTAGGAGGGAAGAGGAGGACGAGAGGGAAGGTCCCAAGAGAGTCCCCAACCAAGGAAACCCCATGCCACACAATTCCCCTCTCCATAGGCAACCCCACTTTCACTTTTGTCACTTTCCCAACCTCCACAATCCACCTCACCCAACTTGGCCACACTTGCCAACCTAGTTTGGCTTCACTCCACCACTTGGCAGCATCTACAGTGATGGGTACGAATTTCCCAACCCCCAAAAGTCTGTACCCCATATTGAGTCACTCCCACATTTTCCGAGTCACCACAACCAAACATGAAAAGCATACGAACTTCAAACGTTCGTAACTTTCTCGTTCGTGCTCCGATTGAAGCGATCCTTGGCTCGTCGGAAAGCACTTGAGCAGAGAAGTCACTTCAGATATCTGCTCAATCCAAAAGGCATTCACAAACACTCAGAAAATCCAAACCGCACAAAACACAAATTCTTGCACACGCTCACACCACGCATGCAACGCACGAACATATGATGGGAGGCAGACAGACGTGAATGCGAATGATAGCATCACACAACAACGCCAAGCAGCCCCAGACACGAAAACGTGATGCAACACCAGGAGACCCGGTCCAACAATGGTCGGTGAAACTCCTGGATGGGAGACACGGGACCAGAGGTTCAGCTGATGTGCAGTGTATCGAACCGCGTAAGGCCACAGAAAATGGGGGGCACGGGCGTGAATCACGGAGGTGCGTGCAATCTCCATGATCAATCCTATGCGGCGCTTAGCATCCCCATTATGCTGTGGGGATTTTGTAAGCGTCCAAGACTGGCGGATGCCCTGCTCGCGACGAAATCCGGCAAGAACGCCGGAGCGAAACTCACCCCCACGGTCGGAGTGAAGACAACTGACACGACAGTGAGGAGTACCAATGTGACTTCTTCGCCAAAGGGAAAGCAGTGGTGTAGCGAGAGTAGTCGTCGATGATCACCAGAAAGAAACTCTCTCTCTAAGGACCAGGGCGAGGGGCGGGGCCCCAGACGTTAAATTGGAGAGTCTCAAAGGGCTCGGTGGCCGGACGAAGGGAGGAGGAGTGAGGGGCGGCATATAGCCGAATTTCGACGCAAGGGCCGCACGGCGGTGCAGGCGAAGGCGGCAGCGATGGCAAGACTGGCGGGAGGCTTAAGTCAAGACGCTGACTAGACATAGTGCGAAGGCAAGGAACGGATGGGTAACCAAGACGGTGGTGCCACAGAACGGTGGGGTGGGCAAGCGACCGACAGGAGCAAGACGCAACAACCGGACCAGACGCTGTAACCTGACCTGACGCAGTTACCTGGTAGGACGCTGGGACCTGACGGGGGGGCAGTTACAGGGGTCGGAGGCAGCTGCCGCCGCCGCTGCTGCTGCTGCTGCTGCCCTCGGGGGCCAGTGTGAAGCGTGTAGAGACAAGAACCCGGCTCCTCGCGAAAGATGGTCAGGGGGGCGTACGTGTCACCGTCCACACAGGTCCCAGAGTCTCCAGAAGGCTCAAACCAAACACCAACGTGCTGACTCACGAGCGGCCGCACACCCACCAAGTAACTAAAGAACGAGTGGACGTAGAAGCCCGTCAGAGAACCCGATGGAACAGCCGGGCACGGAAGCGTAGTTTAGTGGTGAGCAATGGCTGGTCTCGAAGTGGGATCAGCCAGTGCCATAGGGACTGGCGCAGGAAGCGGAGTAAGAGTCGTGTGGTCGCGGAAGAAACAGTGCGAAGCTCCAGAGTCCAGAGTGAAAGACAGCGAAGCGTCCTCCGGAGTAGCACTTGGAGAAGAACCTGAGCAAGTACCTACACTAGCAACTAGCATAGGATCAACACTAGCACCTAAGCTAGAAATACGCGAGAAAGCCCGTTAGAAGCACTTGTGGTTCCTAATAGTCAAGTAACTGAGAAGCAGACATCTCCCACAGTGCGGGATCATGCGAGAGAACAAAGAGAAGCTAGTTAGTCCGTCTGCACCGTAGGCCGCGCGAAGTCTGTCAGTGAGCCGAGAAAAGCACTGATTCGGTGGGTGACGGCGGTCGCAGCGGAGGCCACTGTGAGTACCTGTCTGGATGAGGTAGGGGCAGGGTGGGTGGGCATCACCACGCGAAATCTGACTCGGTCCTGACCCGTGCCTCTGACCCTGCTGCTGCCCCTGCTGCTGCTGTGGCTGCTGCGAGAGGAGTGGCTGCTGCTGCTGTTGCTGCTGCTGCTGCTGCTGCTGCTGCTGAGCCAGGTACCAGGCCGCCACCCCAGCACCCGCAGCTGGCAGCCCCGCAAGTGCCCGACGAACTCGAGCGTCATCTCCACCAGCTGCAGCAGGGGGGCGACTAGAAGCTGCGCGAGGTGCTTCACCAACACCTGCACTCCCGCCACCGCCACTTGCCACGCCACCTCCGCCGTCTCCGCTGCTGGCTGCACACTGGCCGCCCCTCCTGCCACTCCTAATTCTAGACCGCGCATAAGTCGTGACAGCACCCGCGGTCTCGTCAGTAGCGGTAGCGGCGAGGGAGGCAGTGAAGGTGAGCAGCTGTGGGACAGTGCACCCATGGAACAGTGGGGGGGGGGACAGCGCCAGAGGTAGAGGCTACCGAGCGAAGGTTGCACTCGACGTCCTTGAGTGCAAACTCAAGGATCTCGATAGTGAGCTCGCTAGGGTGCTTCAGAAGAAGTGCGTCACGAACCGAGGCAAGGCGGTCAGGGAGGCCAGTGACAATGAAATAAATAGTAATCTCCATACGGAGGGAGCAGCGCAAGCTGTGCGTCAATGCAGGCTAGAATTCAGCGAACGCAGGTGAGCGATCAAGTCAGCAGAACGCTCAAACGAGGCGAGGTCAGGAAACAGGAACGGGAGGAACAGGCGACCAAGAGAGACAGTGGTGGGAGTGGAGTAGCGGGCCTTGATCGCAATTAGGAACACGCTAGCAGTGCCAACCTGGGTAAAGTGGGTCTCCTCAGACTCAGGAAAAAGGCTGCTGAAGGGGATGCAGGCCGCGGCATCACGCGACTTCCAGGCTGTCAGCACAGCGCGCTGACGTGCAGAACGCTCTCTGTCTAGAGTGGTGGGATCAGCGCCTTGTTAGAATCTAGCAGCAGGAATGAATGAACTAGCAAGAAGATGGGTACAAGTAGGAAACCCTAATTTGGGTTGTACCCCATATGGGCTACCCCACTATAGCCTACACAATATGCAGCATATATAATTTGACACACCCCCATAGGCAAAGTGGGGGAGAACAAGGGTCACACGACCAGTCAAGAGAAGCAAAGCAAGCTCAGGGTGGATCACAACGTCACCACACTCTCTGAGCACAAGCAAAGGGCCACAAGGCCAGTTCACATGCAGAGGTATATATATATGCAACAATAATAGACCAGTGATCACTACCTAGCAAGGGCAAGCATGCAGAATATATATATATATATATATAGATCACAGTACAAGCAAAGACTACAGCAAGTGTGGAAGCGTAGGCACAAGGCCTAACAGGGTACAAAAGCGCTGATGATCACCAGACGGAAGTGCCTTGGTGAATATATCAGCAGTGTTGGCCCGAGTGGCCACGTGACGAAGACGAAGCTGACCTCGCTGCTGCAACTCTCGAGCCAGGAAGTAACGCAGAGCGATGTGCTTCGTTCTGTGCTCCAGTCTGTGCTCCTCACACAAGGCAATGGCCGCCTTGTTGTCAACGTACAGAACTGGAGGAGAACGAGGCCGCTCACCCAAGTCAGTCAGCAGGTAGGTGAGCCAGCGTAGCTCCTGTGCAGCCATGGCGGTGGCGTAGATCTCAGCCTCACAACTGGAGCTGAGAACAGAAGACGAGCGTGTAGACCGCCAAGAAACAGAGCCAGAGCCAAGACTGAAGGTGTAACCCTGTGACGACCGCTGTGTAGTCTGGTCGTCAACCCAAGACGCGTCTGAGTGCCCAGTGAGCACCACCTCACTCCGTCCTCCAAGCACTAGCCCCATGCCTGATGTACTGCACAAGTAGCGCAGTACCCTCTTAGCAGCAGCCATGTGCTCAGGTCGGTGCCGACCAGGAGCCACGTAGCGAGCAAGAAGGCCAAGAGGGTACGCGAGGTCTGGACGAGTGCAAGTCATCAGGTACATGAGGCAGCCAACA